GCTAAAAAATGAATTATTCGAGAAGAAAACTCCACGACGCAATTATAGGAGTGGAAAAATTTGGACAAGTTGCCCAATTTCTGCTACTCAATGGCGTTAGCACAGTTCTTGGATTCGAAATCTGATGAAGATTACGAGCTTGCCGACATAATGGTATGTTCATTTTTCAATCTTTACCTTACGTTTCAGAGTTGTACAGGTGCATTTCCAGCTTTCCGAGGCATTGTGCGCTTTCCCAGGAGTCGTGGCGGTGCTGCTGGATAAACTCCAGATAGAGCCGGATCCACTTGTGGAAACCCATAAGCATTTAGGGACATTTGCTCTTAACAAGTGAGTGTATTTGAAAGTCTATATTTCCAAATAGGTGTTTTCGAGCCTTCAAGTGAGCTGACACAGAGAAGATAAATTCCACTCATATTAAGGGAATCCGACGGCTTGAAGTTGGTCTACAAGATCTATGTCGGTGAAGTGGCTGAGCTATGGAAGAAGCCGGAAACATTGTCGTGGTTGGAGCATACCACAAGGGAATGCGCCCAGAATGAGAACTACCTGAAAGAAATGGACGCGTGGAAAGAAAAGTACGGCTAGAGTGAAGCTTTATGTTTTTAAAATAATAGGAATACCAACTTCACTGAAATCGATGAAGTAGAAATACATGGGGAACATTGATTTACGGAGAAAAACTGTATATTTTCCTTCATTTTCTCTCTCGGAAAAGCGTAAAATCAAAAATTGGCCTATAAGTGAGGAAGCGTAGGTTGCCTTAGTTGGGATCATTCCGAATGGTGCGACTTGCTGTCTCTAGCTCCATTTTGTAGCTCCACACAGTACCTTGAAAGATAGTTTGGAAATCGAATAGGTGGAGCTTATTGCGGCTGAAATGGTGTGTGAATCACAGGGTGTTCATTAAAAATTGCACCGCTTTTCTTTGTTTGTAACTTCCCTCAAAATGGATGTATCTTCAAGAAGTTATACACAATTTTAGCCACATTTACATATTGAAAGGAATGACATTCATTGGATATGCTCCCCTGTTGTTGTGAGTATGGCTCCCAATTGCTTCGAACGCAACTCTACTGTGGCCCGCATGGCATCCTGGGGTGTTCTCTTCGAAACTTTGCAGAGAAAAGGCTCCGGCTCATCCATGTGGATGCATGTTTAGTGCAGGCTCTGCCCCCTAACATAGCCCACATAGGATGGTCCAGCACGCTGAAATCAAGGGATAGGAGAGCCATTCGTTCGAGGATGTGAAATCGGAAAGAGTGCCTAACAGCGCTCCTGAACAATTTTTGCCTCCTATGCAGAAGCTGGGTCCTATTGAAAAGATCATCACCCCTCCTCAAAGTGGCTAGATACCTCAGTAACAGATGGTGCACCGAAATGTCCCTTGGCTCGGTCTAGTATCAAGTTGTATTCCTTTTAAACAGGCAGTGATGGTGAGCGACCGGTAGTTGAGACCCCCGTCCAGACCATGATAAGGTTCGGCTGCTGCTTGAAGCGAACCTTTCTTCCTTTCTCATTGCTTTTCTCAAGACCTCATGGCAGCATCCTCGAAGTTTGGAGATTGTGGCTTCGCTCCACAGTGGGAAATTTAGCCAGCTGAAGAAAACGCTGCCCAAGGTGATAGTTTTTTTCGGCCTTTTGCACCCAGCTCTTCGGAGTTTTTGTTTCTGTTGCGCGACTCCGTTTCGATGAGCAGTACCGCCTGTGCAGCTTGCCATGGCTTGCACGCAGTTGTTATAAGACCACTCTCCATGGGATTGTGTTCAAAACTTCGGCGTTCTGCGTAAAATTGTCTGGACGAAGCGGTGGTCGAGCCCTTCCTCATGCTTCTCCTGTGAGTCCGAGGTGGTGGAAACGGACGGGACGAACCGTACGAAACGCACTTTTATTGGTTTTTTTTTCCTTTTAGCGCACGAACGGACCAACGGAGACGGTTAATACATTCCAAGAAAAGCGAGTGTTATGCGATTTCGACCATTGCTGTGCGATTAGATTAAGGCCTCTGCTGAATTCAGGCCGCACATGAATGAGAGACGTTTCGACCGATAAAGCCGCTGGGAATTCGACCTTAGTATTACAGACGGTTAAGGATTGAGGTCTTCAATCTTGGAAGAAAAGCTATAAACATCGCGAATATAAGCCGCAAATGTGTGTTCAGATTTATGGGATACCCTGTAGTTATGGTGATTGGTCCACCAGTGAAGAAAGAAAGCGAAATGTTGCTGGAAAGCCTTCGAGCCATCTGGCACTCTGGTCATGCTAGCTAGGTTTGCGCTCTGCCCATTCGCTTTGATTCGCCTGAATGGTACCATATTTTACCCTACCAGAGTGAAGACACCGCCAATATTCCCATAGGGACGGCGCTGCGGAACCCTTTTATACGAGCTGCTTGGCATGTGATTTGTAGGGCATTTCGCACGTCTGTTCTTTTCCTGGCATCATATGTAGACCTAGGCTCGTTTTCGGGGCGCTTAATACTATCTATTAATGTGGGTGTGCCATTAAATTGACCACACTTGTGCCTGCTTTGAATTTTAAACCCACAGTGTCTTTGCCCTCTCAAATAGGAATCCAGTTGATAGCGCGCGCATGAAATGCCATTGGCGTAGCACTCGGCACCCGCTAAAAAGGTATTATTGATCGAGGCAGCTGAATGACAAAAACACTATAACAGGTGATAGAGTTTTATTGCATTTATTATGCGTAATTAAATTTAGAGTGGAATTAGCGAGAGAGCAAAGCGAAGCCACAACGCCCTCTTAGCACTCGATATGTGGTTAAAGGAAACTCAATCTGACGCAAAGCGCTCTGGAAGAGTTTGCTAGACAAGTTCACTTGCATCGAACAGAGGTGGTTGTAGTGGCAACAGCGCTTTGGTCTGGAAGTTCAATCCCAGTTGAATTTCACCCAGACCCAAGCTTCCATCCTTCTGGGCTCGGTCAGTTGGCTTCAAGTCTGTCTGGAAGGATAGAACATCGAGCACATCGCTTGGTCCCTCAAATGGGTGCATGGGCTCCCCTTTATTCAATACATTATACGAAGTTATACGAAGTGGAATGCATGGCTCATCCTCAAAGAGACTGACCAAGGTCGAAAGCTTCCATCATTGATCCTTTAGACCATTTTTCAAAGTTCTGATAAATAATAAGATGGGAGAGATAGATAGTGGCTTGCATCGCGGCATAACAGCCTAAAGCCTTAAACCCAGGTGGTCCAAGAAGGCTTTCACGGCCAAGTATTTGACTGAGAATCCCTGATCCTGTTATATAACATCATTAATTAGACTGAGAAATGAGACAAGCATGAATTTTGTACCGTTTTGACATCGAAACTCTCCTATTCTTGTTTTTGGAGAAAACATGGCGCATCCCGGTGATTTTCCCCATGTTCGAACACTATCCTATATCCGTGCGGTAATAGGTTTTCCTTTATTTCAGTTGGCAATGCGATTAAAACAGGGCAATGCAATCATCCAAGTAGGGTAATTCCCACGTCCATGTGCCAGTGCGTGCTATGAAAGAAGAAGGTGATGACTTTCATGACATGCGGAGCAATCGACTTTTTCGTCATGTGGTGTAATATCTCAGAAAGGCGGTCCGCACGTGTCGTGGAAAGAATTCGCTGATCATTGCATCATGAAGACGTTTTGGCAGCGAAAGTGTGAGTTACGAAATTTCGGAGGTTACGACGAGGCGAAATGGCACGTATCTTGAAATTTTGTGGAATGTGCCACTTTTGAAGGAGGTGGGAGGGAAGGGGAAGGCTGTGAGCAGTGTCGGCAAACATAATAGTTTTGCCACCAATCAATTCTTATGAAATGTGCCATACTGCCCCCTGCTGTAAAATGCAATGATGATAGGTTTTCAGGACGAATATGTATCTGTAGCGCCTTGTTGAACTGGACATTGGGCTCTCCTTTTATTTACAGGGTGGTCCAAATGAAGGACCAAGACATTGTGTCGTTAAAAACGCATAGTAGCTTGATGGAACAAACCAACTTCTGGGAAGTATTTGTAACTCTTACCTCAAAGTAATTCCAGAATAGAATTGAGATCTGCCACTTCCCCCGTTAACACGAGCCTTCGGATGAGGGGGATGGCGCGTGCGGTGGCACGCAACTAAGGCGTGTCCAAATGTTTCCAGGCCTTCTGCTCTGCCTTCTTCAGGGAATCAAACTTTTGTGTTGCATTTATTTGCGCTTGCATAATTTCAGACCACCCTGTATGCCCTTAACGTAGATGGTCCTTACTAACAGAGGTAGCCAAAAAAGACACTTTGCTATTGCGACATCATCGAACTTTTTGTCGCACAGGGCGCCGATGTTAATGAGAGTTTTATGGCGGAATATTCCTAAGATGTTCCCACGTAAGCAGAAGTAGGCCCTTTTTCACTGCCTCCACCGTCTTCAAAATATGACGTCATCTGTCGTCACCGTCGAGCTCAACGAGGCTTGCTGTAATCGCTCCGGCCTGAAGCTGCTACATGATTTCTTATTCTTTAGCGTTTGTCCCACCCTGTGGCGGGGTCCGCTTTCCTGGTATTACGACGCCACTTTTCCCGATTATGTGCCTGATCGGGGTGAAGGCCAACTAATTTCAAATCCTCATGCAACGTATCAAGCCATCGTTGCTTCGGGTCGCTTCCTGGCACGTTAAAGTCTAGACCCGATCTTACGGACACTCTCATCATTAGCGCGAAGGACGTGACCGTACCACCTCAGGCGAGCTTCGCGCATCTTATCAGCGATGGGAGCCACACCGAACCGCTTTCTGATGGTATCGTTGCGAATGTGGTCTAAACGGTAACCCCGGCAGTCCAGCGCAGCATTTTTGTCTCCATTACACTGAGACGAGCCTCAACCTCTTTAGTCACGGGCCAGCACTCTGCTCCGTAAATGGCGACTGGTCGGACGACGGTTCTGTAGATCTTAGATTTCAGTCGCTCTGGTATTTTCTTATCGCAGAGAACGCCGGTCATCGAGCGCCACTTGGACCAAGCTGCACTCACCCGGGAGTTTACTTCAGAGATCAGGCTGCCGTCGGACGCGATTGCCGACCCAAGATACTTGAACGATGTTGTACGTGTGAGCTCAGTGCCACTGATCTTAATTGTGCCTGACTCACTCAAATCGGTGGTCAAGTACTCTGTCTTCTTCACATTCAACCTGAGCCCAAACATAGCCCATGTTTGCAGTTGTCGATCGAAGACTGCCTACATTGATCTTCATAATTGATTAGAGGGTAATAACTTCTTAGTGAGACACTAGCCGTTACTGTGCAAGACCGCTTTTAACCAGCGTTTCGCGAAGGTCGTAATGGCCTATGGTACATCGACGACCGTGAACCATGTTTCCGTGGGAAAATCTTCTGATGTCGTCGGTGCAGAAGGCTGTCACGTGACATTTAGATAGATTAGAAGTGTGCTCTTTAATACTAAGTTGGGTTCAGTCGATTTGATTCTAGCAAAGTGTGATTAATGCTGTCTGAATTGAAGTGAAGTGTCTCTTTTTTTTTGGCCACCCCTGTATATGATGCGCTATGACTGTCTGGGTGTGTCTGTCTGTCACAAAATTT